TGTACATTTTAATGTTTTCATTATTATGTGACATGTAGAATTATTTTTTTTGCATCACCTTTTTGGTGTACTGTGTGCCTCTTGCACTTTGATAAGGCATTTCATTTCTTAGATTTGGGAAATTTCTTCTATAATTTTGTTGAAAATATTTTCTATGCCTTGGATATAAGCATCTTCTATATTTATGATTCATAGGTGTGTTCTTTTTATACTATCCCCAAATTGCTTCATATTTTGTTCCTATTTAGTGTGTATGTGAGTGTGTGTATGAGTGTGTGTGTGTGTGTGTGTGTGTGTGTGTGTGTGTGCATGTTTTAGTTTAACACTTTCTTTCACTGAGCAATTCAATTCCTGTACCTTATCTTCAAGGACTGATATTCTCTCTTCCACTTGCTCCATTCTTTTGATGAGGAATTCCACTGAGGTTTTTATATTTTATTTTAGTAATTGAATTCTTCACTTAAAGTTTCATTTCACTTTGAGCTTTCTTCAGAAATTGTTCCTTTTTTTAATTCAACTTTCCTATTCTGGATTCTTTATTTCATTCAGCTGTTCGTATTTCTTAGGGTCTTTTTTCCAGAATGCATGCATGTCCTCTTTGAAGTCCTTGTACATATTTAGAAGAATTTTGAAATGATTGTCTTGTCACCAATTAGGTTTCTCTTCTCAGGTGACATTGCAGTGTGTACACTGTTTTTATAAGGAGAAATATTGTCTTCATTCTTCACATTTAAAAATTTTTTAGGATTGTACTTAGGCATCTGGAATTAGAATTTTGATTGGTGTTTCTTGGTACTGGTCTCATATTTGTTCAGCAGGTGTTTGGATTTTTGTTTGCTGCTACCAAAACTTTCCAGGGTATGGACCAGCTGAGTGATGTTTGCTGTTGACTTGGGAATGGGTTATGAGACGTTTTCTCCCCCAGCACATGGGGGTATGTGAACTTCTAGGCTCAGGAGCAAACATTCTGTAGAGTAGGTAGAGCCTCCCTACTCATCTCCAGAAGTCAGTGGAAGTTCCACACAATTCTATAGGTGTTCCTCTGTTGGCAGGGGTTGGGGTCACAGTGGGATGGGGCAGTGCTCCCTGGGGACTGCAGGAAGGATGTTACAGCGTCTTCAGTTGTGGGTGAATTTGGCGGAGGCAAGGTTGGAGGTCTGTACCTGGATTCTAGGTCTTAGGACCCCTAGGGGTCTCTGGGTGGGGTAGAAGGAGACAGATACTTCGTGTTGTATCTGGCCTTAGGAAGGTTTCTGGGGGTGCCTGCTTGGAGTTTAGCAGGTAGACATGACTGTGGTTCTGGCACCTGTGATGGGAAAGACCTCTGTCTGCCTTGGGACAAGGCTCTGGGCTGAGCAGGACCTACCTGTGGGTCTTGCTTCTGAAGGAGCCATAGAGTTTGAACTTGTGGCTACAGACAGGGAGGGTTTTATATCTGGGCTCAGAGTGAAGATCTGTGGCTTCATTTCTACCTGGGGTCTGGGGTTTGGGTTTTGCATGGAGCCACCTAGATGTTCTGGGCTGTGGGATGAAAGTGAAGGTAGGTTCTGGGGTGATGACTGAATCTTTGGGACATATAGGCGACTGGAGAGTCTGTGGTGCTGAGTTGGCTGGGGTCTAGGGAATGCCAAAGGGAGGAAGAGTTGGAGATCCCTGGCAAGTGGTGGGGTTTTGGACTGTATTTTTTGATGAAAATTTTCTATCCAGGGAGGAAACACGGTTTTGCAATTCTGACACATGAATATGTGTGTATATCACATTATTGCTAAAAATGTGCAAAAAGTGTAAATAAAATAATTTTATTTTTAAACAGCATACACTACACTTTGCAAATAAATGTCTGTATTTGCTCATTCATCTATGTTTGTATAAATGAGTAAAGGCTGGGTAATGTATATGTGAAAATTCTATTTGTATTTACCAGTGATTAGTAAGATTAAAGCAATTTGTTTTCTTTGTCATTTTTACACATTTCATTGTCTTGAATATTTTTTTAACATTTTATTAGAATGAACCACATAAATTATTGATTTCATATGTGAGAAATGATTGCATAAGAGCAATTTCATATTATTCAATAAAAGCTATGATTCATAGGGGAGGTGTGTGATACAATCTACTACCGTGAGATGGAAGCTGAATTCTCAGAATACTGGTTTACAGTAGAATATGAGAACATGTGATAATTGTCAGAAAGATGAACAGATACATGTTCATATAAAATGTATATGTACTTATTGAAATATTTTTCTTGTTCATACAGTACATTTGTTTCTCAGTGTCAAATTTAGATTGTAAATCAGTTACATCATCTGAAGAATCTCAGTGGAATAACTTTACTTATCTCTTACTGGTAAAGCTCTGGGTTTTGAAAGCAAAGAAGCATGTAAGACCAGTTATACTAGGTTTGCTAGTAATGGTTTGCTGATGATGGAACAATGCCCAGCAGATTGCCTTTATCCTACTGGGAGTTTTGGATAGCAACGAGGGAGTTTCAGTATTGAATATACATGCAGAGTTGAAGATGGGAGGAAATAAATATAATTCCTTTCAACTAGCTTTTATTAGAGCCTTGACACTGAAAGAGTTGTCACTGATACCCCTGTTCCTGCACCTTAAGTGCTCTGCATGAAGATTTAAGTTTTATGGCATCCTTGTCTACAAACCTTTCTATAGGAATTGGGTGAGAAAATAGTATTTAATTTTACTGTAATTTTTCAAAGTTAAATAATTCCAGCATCAAAATTTCTCATAAGGTATAAATATAGGTGGAATTATCTTTGTTAGAGAAATTATTTAACAAATAAAACATAAAGAAGTTCTGACTTTCTCTAAATTGCTAGGGACTGATAGGTATGTATTTGTGGACCAAACTTTTGAACTCGATTGTGTGAATTTTCCAGAGTCCCCATGGTTACCCTCTATGCTATGCTTTTATTTTAATAGCTCTATGCTACTAATAATAGCAAAGAATCATAGTATTATATTCTATTTGAGGGAATGCATCTTAGAAAGCCCAGAACAATGTTGTGAAACTAACTCAGAGTGGAACTGAGATTCATAGGTTCTGAAAATTTCAGTTACCTGTCCTTGATTTAAATACTGTGAAAAACTAAATCTGTTGAATATTTGATTAAAATACTGTTTCTAAATTTTAGTCTGGAAATTTTCCAGAATCAGGAATAATTTCCAGTAACTGAGCATCATAAGTTTATGTGATTTCTTAAGCAGTATATGGCTGCTTTCTCACATGGTCTTGGTTTCATGGAATAATTAAAAGTATGTAAAAAGAAAGAGTTCACCACACTGGAAGCATGAGTTTCATCATTATAGCCTTGGAAGATATAGAATAAAGATAATTTTGTAGTATTTTAGATATGATAGTAAAACAATAATTATTATAGATACATCAGCTTCTCTATTAATGTTTTTTCATGCCTAGTAAAACTCCATTTTTTTCCCTATTCCCAGTAAAGCTGAATGATCACAGATTGCACAGGATTGTTTCACTATTTAAATAAAACTCCAAACCCAAGACACTTTTCTATATTTTAATTTTTCTCCATATTTTTGTTGCTTTAAAATTATTTTTAACATATATGCTCTTTCCACAAATTATATTTCCCTTTAATTTTTTCCATTATTTCATTTTTCAAGGCAAAGAATTTTTCAAGGCAAAGTAGATGTGTTGAGAAAATTCATTTCTTAAAATTATGGATTGGGTATGAGGTTGTTAACTAATTCTGGAATTAGTAACTAAAATTAGTTCTGAACTGTATGTTGATAGAAACCCATTTGACTGATATTGTCATAATATCTACTCCTACACATCCAGTAATTAGACAATCAAGCCTGCTGTTTCAATTGTAGATGACCAATACAGGGATGTGAATATACAAGCTATTTAGTGCACAGAATTATGCATTTTTGTCAGTATAGATACACACTGTCATGGTGTGGACTAGGATTCTTCTTTCCTGTATTTTTATGGGAACTGTTCTCATTTCCTTGATTTCTTACATTTGTAGGCAAATGCTGAGGTTTGATTTGTATGCTTTCCCTAGTTTATCTATAGTTATTATCAATCAATTTGTTTTAGCTTTTTTGAATTCAAATATTGAAAAACCCTGGACCTTCCACTGTTTTCTTCTTTTGTGATATTTCACTTTGAAATTTGAAATTTCACTCATGAAATCAAAAAGATCTTAATGATATTTTGCACATTTTAGTGAGGAAAAATACAAAGGTCTAATAGATCTGAGATGGTTTTTATGAATTTATAATCAGGTAACAATGGTAAATGAAAGAAAACAGCATAAATAAGATTTTAAGTTACCATCTTATTGTCAATGTGTTTTCATGAAAGAATTATGCATATAATTAATATCAAAGACAGTTAATTTCTGTGCTTTACAAAATATTCAAAATATATGAAAATAGAAAAAATATCATTTGAGAGTGGAAAGGTACTAGGAAATGTGGGAAAGGAAATAGGAGAAGCATTGTATGTTCAAATATATTATATACTTGAATGAAAATGTTATTAGACAAACCATTACTATATAGTGAATATATTATCATAAAATACATTAATAATTTCATGAGAAGTTGAAAAAGATGCTTTTCAAATTCAGTCTTTTAAAAATATTTTAATATGAGATGTATTGTGTATTTTGTCATTATAAATATCTATACAATATATCTGTTATATTTGTATGTATCATTTATAGGAATTGAGACTAATATGCATAAAGCTAACAATTTGGTGTCTCTGGCCTCTTCATTTGCCTTTCTGTTACTTAATTGTAAAACACTACATATCAAAATTGTTTAAAAAATACTTCCTCTTCCTCCTTTAAAAAGGAAAAACAATATATATCCATATATTTTGATTAAAGAACATATGAAACATAGGGAAATGAGAACATAATCTGACACCTTTGTCCATTGGTCTTGACTATATTTTCTTTGCCTTTTTTTCTCTTTGTAGGGTGCACTCTGTGAGGCTGTGATGGAGGGGAACAAGACCCAAGTGACAGAGTTTTTTCTCAAAGGAATAACAGATCGTCCAGATCTGCAAGTCCCCCTGTTCCTGGTGTTCTTGTTGATTTATGTCACTACCATGGTGGGCAACCTTGGGTTAAACTTTCTCATCTGGAAGGACCCCAACCTTCATACCCCCATGTACCTGTTCCTTGGACATTTAGCTTTTGCTGATGCATGTATTTCATCCTCTGTCACTCCAAAGATGCTTATGAAATTTTTAAATAAGAATGACATGATAGCTCTGGGTGAGTGTTTTGCCCAATATTATTTTTTTTGTTACAGTGCAACCACAGAAATTTTCCTACTGGTAGCAATGGCTTATGACCGCTATGTGGCCATATGCAACCCTTTGCTCTATCTAGTGGTGATGTCCAAAAGGCTCTGCACTTTGTTAATTAGCCTATCATATATAATCGGTTTTGTAAACTGTGCAATTAATATAGGGTTATTATTTAGGTTAACCTTCTGTAGGTCCAATATAATAGATCATTTTTACTGTGAAATCCTGCCACTCTATACAATTTCTTGCACTGATCCATCTCTTAATACACTGGTGGTGTTTATTTGTGCTTCTTCTATACAAATTAGTACTTCTGTTACTATTGTAGTCTCTTATGTCAGAATCTTATTTGCTGTGATGAAAATGAAGTCTTCGAAGAGCAGAAGGAAAGCCTTCTTCACCTGCAGTGCCCATCTTTTCTCTGTCTCTATGTTCTATGGCACTCTGCTCTTCATGTATGTGAGCCATGGCTCTGGACCAGGGAAACAGCAGAACAAGGTGTATTCGCTCTTCTATACCGTTGTAATTCCTCTGCTAAATCCCTTTATTTATAGTTTAAGAAACAAGGAAGTTTTAGGTGCTCTGAGGAAACACATAAAATTATAACCTTTTTCTGAAAAGTTCAAGATACATTGTTTTAATTTTCTTTCCTTTCATATGGCTCATAATATTTGGTCCTGTGTTTTGCATGTAGTAGAAATTTTGTATAATGTTAATTAATGGAATAAAAATATAGACTACAAATGCTTGTCTTGCTAATATAATTATTAGGATAGCTAATTTGATCTTAAGAGAAGAATTGGTTATTGTTTAATTTCATACTCATTCTCATTGAAAAGTTAATTTATCAAATTAATGCATTTTTTAGGTTAATGTATTCTTGTTTTCCAATACATATGTTTTCAAAGTCTTTTCTAAAATTTTATTCAGGCTTTGTACATTTCATACTACAGTTATTTATCAATTTTATGTCCCCTCCGCCATCCCTGCCCACCCCATCCTGGACCTCATGTATTCCACCACACGTGTTAAATCCTATCTAGTCAAGTATTTGTACCCAGATGTCCTTTGGTGCAAATTCATCCACTGGAATCTAGTCAGCCTATCCAGAGCTCTTAAGTAAGCTGTATTCTCCCTGACCCAGTAGTCATCAATCTCAAATAGCTCCCAGACTAAGGCTGGCCCACCACCTATTTTCATAGCTCCACTCCAGACCCTTGTCTGATTGAATTGGCATAAGTCTTGTGCTCAGTGCCACCATTCCCACAAGTTCACATGTGCAAACGTCCAGTGGCCTGAAAGCTTTTTCTTTCTTATGTTCATGAACCAGCCCTGGCTCTTACAATTTTAACCTCTTCCCTAATGTTTCCTGAGCCTTGGGTGGGAGAGTTTTAATATAGGAGTCGTATCCAGGGACACACTCTTCAGTCTCTTGTTCTTTAAAAAATGGCCAGTTGTGGCTTCTGTGTGCATTGGACTCTTGTATAAGGAAGCTTCACTAGTGAGAGTTGAGGAATGCACTAATTTTCTCTCTACCCTGTTCTGTTATGTTCCATGAACCTTAGTTGTTTAGGTTCACCTGCAGATATGGGACCTAGGACTGGGCATCTCCCAAAAGTATGTTCTCTGGGTATGACCAGTAGTGGAATTATGCAGTTTCTACCATCTGTTTCAAAAGAAGTTTCTTTGATCAGTGATGTACAATATGCTTATCTGTAAATATAAAGCTCCATATTTAGCATATTGTGAGAAATTTCTTTTGTATAGAGATATTACAGAGATAGGGTTTACTCTAGGATATATGAACTCTCCAGCCATGTGTGTTTGGCTGCATTTACAATGCCACTCACATTCACTGTGAGGCTTTTAATTCCAATTAGATAGCTGCTGATTACTTCCCTGATAACAGTGCCATTAATGCACAAATAGAAGTAGTTTGCTGTGCTGGTTGTTATGGTTATGAAGCTTTAGGGTTGCGTTGAAACACTGATTGGTTTTTCTCTTTAAGCAGCTTGCATTAGTGCCATGTAGAACTATGAGAGGAAAACTTCAGTTAGAAGACTTCCCAATCAGTACCTGCTCCATTGCTCCAAGTCTTGTGTCTGAAGTGTCCAGTCTTTAGCAGTAGGGTCTTATCTTCCAGTTTTGGGAGATAACCAAGAGCTCTGGCAATCACCTGTATTACTTTGGGAGTCTCTTGAACCACTATGACCAACCATTCGAAGGTAAGTCTCTCCTATTTGACACTGTATTCCTTGCCATACACATGTCCCCAAGCATACATATGCACTAATGTGCACTTCTCAGGTGGTTCAGGAGGCAACACATTACCCTCTGGCTTCCATAACCTGCCAAGATTCAATCAACTCTACTCTCTCTCTCTCTCCCCTCCAACCTTTCCCATCCCCTTTGAATTTATATTATTGAAAAGAAAATTAAAGGTATATAAATCCTTTCTTTACAACAATTTTTTATCTGGACATGGTGACACATGCTTTAATCCCAGCATTAGAGAGGCAGAGGCAAGCAGATCACTGTCAGATCAAGGACAGCATGGTTTACACAGTGACTTCCAGGCCAGTCAGCTATAGAGAGATGCTGACTCAAAGGAAAAAACAACAGCAAAAACAACAACAGCATCAAAACAATGTATTTTTGACTTCTAAATAATTGTTGTGAAAGGATCATTTAATATATGCATAATTATATGACCAATAAATAGGTAAATAGTTGTTATGCTAAATATGACAAGGAATATAATTTTATGAACATGAAATATTTCTTTTAAAAACATTTTATCATTTTTAAAATTTTTTATTTATGAGTACTGTTTACATGTAAGTACACCTGTATTATGCAATGCCCATGGAGGTCAGAAGAGGGCATAAGATCCCTTGGAAATGGAGTTACTGATGATTGTTAACTGCCATGTGGGTGCTGGGAATGGAACACAGGTCTTCTGTAAGGGCAGCAAGTGTTCTTAATTGCTGAGCCATCTCTCCCGCCCCAAAATGAATATTTCTTGAAATTTAGGAATAGTCTTGAGTTAAATATATCTGCTATATTCATTGTAAGTTCATAAAAATTAAGAATAAAAATATGTAAATTTTTATGGAGCATAAAAACTTTGAATTCTTATAAAAGGTCTATTTTGTAACATGATTAATTATATTTAAATATAACTGTTTAGAAGCTTTTTCCATGTCTTCGTATATAATCTTCTTTTATCTAATCTGTTATTTGTCCTCTGAATTAAATATATCAAGCAAAATGATGATCTTTATTTCATACAAAACTATGAAAATATATTAGATAAACTAACTTCTATGATGACTATGTTAGGTGTCAAAATTATGATAATTATTTCAACTCAGTTCTGTGAGATTATCACCAAGAAATTAAAGCAGTGCCTCATGGGGCTTTTACCATCTAAATTTATTCTAATTGTGGTTATGGAGGACAGAATGATATACCACAAATGCAGAGCTGAGGAATGAAACTCAAATGCCTTAAATTTTTCTATTTATTTAATAAAATGACATTTATGTTTACAAATAGGTTTATTTTATTAATTTTTTGTGTATTTCATACAGAACAGCTCAAAAATTCTTAATCGTCTTTGTATCCCCATCCCCACTGGCATCCTTAAACACAAAAACAGAAACAAAAACAAAAACAAAAACAAAAAAAACCATGTACATGTCTACCTATTAATCATTTTCAGAATACCATCAGCCCTCATGGTGTAAATAGCCAAGGATTCATGAGAAAAATCAATACAGTTAACTCACTAACACTAAGACATCACTGAACTAACATTCAGACAAAAGCAAAAAGGACTAATGCCCCCTTGTTCACAGTTTGATAGATTAATTCTATTTGGCTAAAATAATAAAAGCATTTCAAGAAGGGTTCATTATGTATTTGATGTCCTGCATTAAGCAATATACTAAATTCTGAATGAAAGGTTATTAGCCAATTTTCATAAAAATTAAAAATTAAATAATTTTTTTAAAGCCAGCAAGTAGTAAATGTATTTAAGAAGCTAATTAGAATGAATGCCGTGACTTCATTAGAACACCACTGATCATGATATATTTTTTCTGAATAAAGCATTAGTATTATCTATTTGGCTAATAGTGTTAGCAATTTCTCTACAATATTTAACAAGATAAATTGGGAGTAGCACACCAGGGGCAGAAATGTCAACAAGTAGCTGTGAGGCCTTTTGGCCACTGCTGTGGATAATAAGAAATCTGTCTCAAGCTGAGGCCTTAGCCAGAGGGAAACTGATTAGAGCAGGAGAGGGATATGATGTTGGCCTCTTCGGTACCGACCTCTGACCTTGCCAGTAAATTTGATAAGAAAAAAAAGGAGATGGAGGTGTTGGCATGCTGCTTTTGACATCTAGGAGGTCAAAGGGAAAAAAAGCCCATATCAGAATGATAATAAAAGGCCCATCTTGGGATCCTAAAGCCTGGAACCCCTGGGAAGAGTCAGGTAATAAGAAGAAGGAAGTGACCTAGAGACAGTGGAAGGTGCTCCTCGGGTCCAACATTTAATTCAAAGAAAGGGAAAATCCATAGTCCAACATGCTGATGTAGGTGTTAACGATAGCCCAGTGCAGGACACCATGGTAATCAGAAAATACTCAGCACCAGAACCATTAGAACTGGGAAAGACATTTAAACAAGTTATGAAGGGGCCTTTGGCCATCTGGCTTGTGAGGCTATGGGACATGGGGCAGAGGGAATCATTTTAAGTTCTACAGAAGCAGAAAAGTCAAGCAACATAACCACTCATCCCTCTTTGAGACAAAGACTTCACAATTTAAAGCAATATGAGAGAAACCAGTCCATGATGGATTTGCTTGTACAATCCATTTGGGACACATGGGTATCTCCAGCTGAGTTTCCAAAGAATACTAGAGACTGGAAAACCATAGTTGCTGAATCACATGACCAATTTGTATTCATGTGTAATGGACCTTCAGAGTAACTTCCCCAGGTTATCTCCACATCGCAAGGTTTGTTATGGGATGGTACCCTGGGAACTAGCCCTGTTACCATGCCCTCCTTCTGTAAGGAGGTTCCACTATGTAAATGACATAATGCTAACTTTTGAGTGCCTTAAAGATTTGGTAGCTCATTTGGGAGACATGCAAGTGTACCTGAAAGAGCAATGGGAGAAGAGTCGCCCCACCCCCTCTGAGGCTCAGGGATATTCATGGAAGAGGCAGGTGGAAAGTTCTGTAAGAGCCAGAGGAAGAGGGTTAAGTGTGATCTGGATGTTCCTCTGACCCTGTGATGACAAGTCATGGACCCATGTCCTCACACTCTGCACAGGAGTCAATCCCCTTCCCTCTTCCAGCCAATTGGTTGACCACAGCTTCTTTCAGGGGAGGGGTTAAGGGTATAACCTGGGAAAACCACAAGGCTGGTCTCTTGCCATGTTGTAAGGCTGTCTGGAACCATGGGTTTTATGTTTGGGTGTGGACCGTCAGACACAGTTTTGAATGGAGGGATGACAGCTCTTCTCTAAGTAAACCTACACCCCAAGCCCAATTAGGAAGTCCAATAAACTTGTTAAGATTCTTCAAACTGGGGTTAGGAAAATTCTTTTTGCAGATTGTCTCAAAGACAATGGGGGATAGAATTTGATGAACAGAAAACTATATAAAGAACTATGGGACTAAGTGAGGAAAATTTTCCCATACACTTAAAAAAAAAACCTTAAGTACAGAAGGAACCCTATGAGAATGGAAGAAAACCTTACTAGAAGCAATCCAGTTATTAAAATTCTGATGCTAGAGGTGTTTGTTCCATTTTGAGCTGTTGGCCAGAGAGGCCTTAGAAATCCCCAAACAATAAAAGTCATTGCCAATAATGTTGGCTGTACACTTGAAGTGGATGGTAAAATCATATTTCTGAAGATACTGCATAATGTGAATGCAGGAGAGGGAGAAATTAACCTTGGACTGAACTGAAAACTCCTTCCTACTGGATGGATGACTTTCATAGTGCCAGAGGATGACATGCAGATGACTGGGAGAGAAATAGCCTCTGTAATTCTGCTCAACAACAGACCCCACATGCTGCACTATTAACATGCCAAACAAGATATTCCAGCTGGTGCAATAGTGAATGGCATGTCTAGTGTATACACAACCAGCAAGTTTTTCATTGGCTCTAATGCCCACTCCTAGAAGTGGGACAAATATCTGGTATGCTAGGCCAACCCCCTTTGTCAGGGGAGGATATATATAAGGCCTCAGTCAGGAAGCCACTGCAATTGTTCTTTTAGATAGATGTGATGCACCTGTTGATGTACCATCCAAGCTTTTGTGTTTATGCCCAAAGGTTAAATTATTATAGCAGCCACTGTTTAGATGTTCTTGGATCTTGTTGTTTGTGTTTTTATAGTAGATGGAATCCCACTAAAATTGGTCAACAGGCCATGTAAAACAGATGATGCAGAGACTGAAAGTTCAGTGTCTTGCCACAATGGGAGGAAGATCATCCCACACCTATCACCCCAAGACTCAGGGACTTTTGCAGAAGAGATTGGCAGGAAGAATGTAAGAGCCAGAGGAAGGGGTGGGATGTTACCTGAAAGTGTCCTCTGACCACTATGCTGGCAAGCTATAGTCACACCTCCTTCCCAATCTTGTCAAGGAGTTGATGGGGGAGTCCATTACACCATCCACCCAATCAGTGAAACTTAGTTGCACATGGGGGATGGGCCAAGGATACATAATCCAAGAATGCCATGAGGCACCTCTCTTGATATTTTGTGCAGCTCTCAGGAAGTCACAGGATCTATATTTGAGTGTGGACTTTTCAATGTAGCCATGAATGGGAGGAGTGCCACTCTTCTGTAAATAAACCTCCACCCTATGCTTGGTTAGCAAGCCTATTAAACTCAGGGGTTTTAAAAAAGAAAAGGGGCTGTAATTATTCTGGAATAATAGGAAACTGTAATTATTCCACCAAAGTTGACCCCCATGTTGGCAAATCATTTGATCTATGATTTATTATTCTTATTTTCCCCCTCAAACTTCATACTTCAAGTTATTTCTGAAAAAAAAATGTGTTAAAAATTGCCTCTTTTGGAAAATTAAAAAAAAAGGATCCATTACAGAAGTGTGGGAAACAATCTACAACATTGCTAGAATTTGCATTCCCAGAATACTAGTTTTTAAATATCACATACTATGAGAACATTTGATAGGTGTGAGAAAGAAGAGTAATACACTTATTCATATATAATGTGTGTGCATTCATTAAACTTTTTTTGTGCAGTACAGTTTGTATGGTGTTCAGAGTCAAATTTTAGCGGCAAATCCATTGCATCATTTAATGACTCTCAATGGAGTAAACATTAATTTTATTTCTACTTGACCTATAATACTCTGATTTTAGAAAGAAACTTTTGTAAGATCAGCTACACTGGGCTTGTTAGTAATAATTTGCTGATTAGTCAATAATGCCCAGCAGATTGACATTATCCTACAGGGAGTTTTGGCAGCATTGAGGGTGTTACAGAATTGGCTTCACACACAAAGTTGAGGTTGGGAAGAAATAAATATCCTCTCCAAAGTGCTCTTAAAGAAAATTGACACGGGAAGAGTTCTTATTGATTTTCTTATTCCTGTATCTTAAATAGTCTTCATGAAGATTTAGGTTTTATGACAGCCATGCTTATACAACGTTTTATAGGAACTGGTGAGAAAACAATATTTTATTTTACTGCCATTTTTCAAAGGTATCAAGTGTTTCTCATAAAGTGCCAATATAGGAGGAAATATCTTTCTTATAATTTATTTATCTAGTAAATAGGAAATGAAAAAACCCTGATTGAAAAAGACTTAAAAATTTTGTACCATTTGTTACCCGTGGAGTCAACAGTTATTTATTTGTAACCAAAGATTTTATCTCAATCATGTAAAGCTGTCATAGTTCATTTGGTTAATCTCAATGTTATTCTTTCTTATTAATAGCAGTAAAGAATCATACTCTTATAGACTACTGGAGAGAATGCATCTTAGAAAACCCAGCAGATTGTTCTGAATCCTTGAAAAGATGATTTGTAACTTGTTTATGTATAATAGTAATTCAGATACAGAATTGAGAGTCATAGGTTTTGAAAATTTGTGTTTTGTACCCATCATTAAGATAATGTTATGGAACCAATGTGCTGAACATCTATCAAGTAAAATATTCTTTTGACATTTCTTTGGAAATCTTTTAGAATCAGGAATAATTTACAGTGCCTGAACATCATAGGTGTGTGACTTCTTAGGCAGTCTATGCCTGCTTCCTTACATGGTTTTGATTTACATTACATTCCTGGAAATATGTAGAAAAGAAAAGATTACCAAATTGGCAACATCAGTTTTAGCAGTATCTTTCTCACATATATAAAATAAAATAATCTTCTTTTGAGATTTGATAGTGGAACAATGAATAAATATGGCAAATGTACCAGGAGCTCTGCTAATGTGCTTAAATGCCTTATAAAACTTGAAAAAATTTACTTTTTAGTACTCCCAAAAAATATGAAGAAGATGATATTAACAGGTTAGTTCCTTTAGTTAAGTAAAATGAAAAATTCTAGACTCTTTATTCATCTTGATTCAGTTCTATATATGGTCACTGCTTGATGAATGTATTTTGCATATGATTTTTCTACAGACTGCATTTTTCTTTATTTCTGTTGTTTCTTCAGTTTCTAATGCAGATGTTTTGAGAAAATTGCTTGTAGGACATCAGATATTTGAGTATGAAGTTTTTAGCCCTTTCTACAAAGAATTGGTAAGTACAGTATAAAAGCAAAAGTTATGTGTTGTTAGGAAACCTATTTGATCTTTCATATGACTGAATCCATGACTAGACATGCTCATTGAAGAGTTAGTTTGGCCTGATGTTTCTAACTGACCAGTTCTTATTGTAGACCACTAGTTGAGGTATATTAATACACAAACCACATGATGTCCAGAAATTATACATATTTTGTCATTGCAGAAATGTACTGTAGTAGTGATGACTTGTATTCCTGTCTCCTTGGGTCTCTATGTATCTGCCATCTGTTCTCCTGCTTATTTCATTCATGGATGCATGTAGAACTTTTTTGCTTTACCTATTATATCTATGATTTTTATCAATCAATTCATTTAAGATTTTCCATCATTTGATTTTCTATCTAAAATTATATTTTTTTCCAACAAGTTTGAATTCAGATGTTAAAACATTGGCCAATCATTCTACTCTGGTTTCTTTTTTAATATTATATTCTACTTCCAATTTGATAATTTGACTTATGAAATTCAAAGGATATAATGATTCTTTTCATGCATTTTATTGATTTGGCAACACAAAGGTTTACTGAAAATTTGTGATGGATGTTATGATACATAATCAGGTAGCATAATGATAAAGGATACAAAACAGAAGAAAGAGCATTTAAATTTCCATTTGATTACTCAAAATTAATGCCTTAATATGGAAGAACTGTATATATAATTAATACCAAAGACAGTGAATTTCTGTGTCATAAAATTTTGGAAGCTATATATGTAATGAAAGTAGAAAGAATATGATTTATGAAGGGAGTGTAGAGCTAGGAGAAGGAGGATAAAAGGAAGATGCTCTTTGGTTGTGAATATGTTTAAAGTACCTCATATACTTGAATGAAAATGCCATTATGTAAACTATTACTTTGCATAATGAGCATATTTTCATTCAATTGTAGAAAAAAGCTCATGAGAAAGTGAAAAAGAGACTGCTAAAATTAAGCTAGTTTTGGTGGCATTTTATTATAAATTATATTATTAAACTTGTCATAAATTCTGTATACATTATATCTTTCATATATGTATATAACTTATAGTGAGTCAGACTAACATAAATAAGGCCAAATAAATTGGTGCCTCTGGCCTTATAAATTACCTTTCAGATAATGACATGTTACAATTACTGTATATCCAAATTATTTATGGAAAAGTTGCTATTTAGAATATGCTTTAAATTTGGGAAACACTACATTTTTATATTTGTTGGTTAAGGAGACCATGAAATTTAGAATGTGAGTTATTATCTGATACCATGCTCAATGAGTCTGCCTTCTTTTTCTTTACAGTAAGCAGCTTGAAAGGATGTGATGGAGGAAAACAAAACCCAGGTGACTGAATTCATTTTCAAAGGAATAACAGATCGTCCAGAGCTTCAAGTGCCCCTGTTCCTGGTGTTCTTGTTGATTTATGTCACTACCATAGTGGGCAACCTTGGGTTAATCTTTCTCATCTGGAAGGACCCCAACCTTCACACCCCCATGTACCTGTTCCTTGGAAATTTAGCTTTGGCAGATGCCTGTACTTCATCCTCAGTGACTCCAAAGATGCTCATGAAATTTTTAAATAAGAATGATATGATATCCATGGGTGAGTGTTTTGCCCAATTTTACTTTTTTTGTTACAGTGCAACCACAGGAATTTTCCTACTGGTAGCAATGGCCTATGACCGCTATGTGGCCATATGCAACCCTTTGCTCTACCTAGTGGTGATGTCCAAGAAACTCTGTAGTTTATTAATCAGTATATCATACATAATTGGATTTCTAAACCCCATAGTTCATGTAGGATTATTATTTAGGTTAACTTTCTGTAAGTCCAACATCATAGATCATTTTTACTGTGAAATTATGCCACTCTATACAATTTCTTGTACTGATCCATCTCTTAATGCATTAGTGGCTTTCATCTTTGCTTCTTCTATACAGATTAGTACTTCTGTTACTATTGTGGTCTCTTATGGCCGTGTCTTATTTGCTGTTCTGAAAATGAAGTCTGAGAAGGGCAGAAGGAAAGCCTTCTTCACCTGCAGTGCCCATCTGCTCTCTGTCTCCTTGTTCTATGGCACTCTGCTTTTCATGTACGTGAGCCCTGGTTCTAGATCAGGTAAACATCAAGATAAAATGTACTCACTCTTCTACACTATTGTAATTCCTCTGCTAAATCCCTTTATCTATAGTTTAAGAAACAAGGAAGTCTTAGGTGCTCTGAGAAAACTCATGAAAACATAACTTTTTTGAAAAGTTCAAGCCCCTTTCTGTTTTTCTCTGTTTTCATATGCTTTGCAATCCTTGCATCAGTAGAATTTTCACATATTGTTAAAAAAAGAAGTAAAGATTTAGACTGCAAACACCTGTCTTGGTAGTGTTGTTGTGAAAATAGCTAATGAGTACTTTAATATCCATTCTTAGTTATTCGTTGATTTTAAATTTAGACACAAAGTGAAAGGAAACTCAATAAATTATTCTTTTTATTAGATAAACTCTTTTCTTCTAAATAAGGGTGTCTTAAAAGTCTTTTGAATTTATGTTATTGAAGGAAAAAACTCAACCAGTACATATCTTTTATTTAAAACCAAATTTTGTCCTCTTAAATAATTCTTGAGAAAGGTTCATTCCACAGCTTTTCTTTAGATGATATGTGACATCATATTACCAATCTGTAAGTCAGTAACTGTAATCCTCAGTGTGACAAGGAATGCCATCTTAAGCAATTAAGACAATATTGCTTGAGATTTACATCTAGTATTGAGTTAAATATTTTTGTCACATTCATTGAAATTTTAAAATTGATAATTAGAAACAAAATAAAAATGTAAAGGAACTTAAAAAGAAAATTTTTTAATTTTTATACAACTTCAGCCTTTTAATTTATGAATGAGCGTTGTGGCACAATCCAATTTCTACACAGATATCAACTGATAAATATATTTTCCTGATACCTAAAACTTCTTAATAACATAAAGAGGGTTACGTTTTTATAATCAAATGTAAGACTGCTTCTATCAGACTAGTATGTGTGTACTCTTTTGTTTCTCTGACTTTATTGGATATTGTCTTTTTCACTATGTAAGATAAAGGAGATTTCAACATATATCTGAGTCTTTATTTTAAATATAAGAAACAGATACTCCCCGGGCTACCTGGGGGTCACAGTACTCATGTTCCAGACCAGCCTGGTAAGCTAGCCAGAATCTCACCCACCCTACCTCCTCCACACTCCCAGGACTAGCTTGCACTGTGCTACAGACCAGCACGGTGGGGGTAGGTAGAATCTTGGCAACCCTGCTTCTCTCTCCACAGTCATTGAAGTAGCTATGATTGTCCACAGTCCACACCAGACCAGCCTGGAAAAAACTTTGTCCCTCTAATAAAAGATCAAGTGTGTGATTAGATCACTTGCACTGAAGGATAACTGAGGACACTAACTTGACTTGATCGGCCTTAACATAAATGACAGAATGCATGAAATCCAATGGGGGAGGTGTCTACGAGAGGGTGCTGCTGATAAGGAGGCTATAAAGATGATTAAGATGCTATATCTGAAATATTTAAAAATTCAGTAGTAATGTATAAAAAGAAAGAAAATTTGGAAATAGACGAATTAGATATACCAAATAAATAAATAAATAAATAAATGTTTAAAAATGAAAAAAAATCAACAGTGAGAATCTGAAGGATGAAGGATTGACCAACTAGCTCTTCATACCCAATGAAATCCATTAGGCTAGTACAAAATCAAACTTCCCTAACAAAGGCAGGCTAGAATTTCATATCAAACCACAACCAACAAAAGAAATCCACATGCCCAGGTCACATCATAAAAGCACAAATAATACAAAACACCAAAATAATACGTCTTTGCTAAAACCCGTTAATCTTATAGAAATGTACAATGAACATTTTAGAGGTACATCAGGACAGAGAACTTAAAAGAACAATTGTGGGGCTGGAGACATGACTCAGTGGTTAAGAGCATTGACTGCTTTTGCAGAAGACCTGAGTCTTATTCTCAGCACCCACAATGCAATTAAGAACTGTCCATGCCAGGTGATCTGATGCCCTCTTCTGACCTCCACGGACATTGCCCAACACAGGTGCACTTACACACAAGCAGGCAATACACTTATATACTTAAAATAAAAATAATAAATGAAAATAAAATAGTCATAAACATGAACAAAATTAAAGGACTTTGAACAACACACAAACAAACATCTCAATGAATTTGAATCAAAGAGGATATTAAAGAAGCTAAAGGAAATAAGAATATACTGATGAATGAAATGACAAGTATAGTTCAGAATTTGAAAAGTAAATTCACAAAATAGAAATACTGAAGAAAACTGAAGCTGAAATGAAGATGGAATTGAAAAACTTAATAACCTAATTAGAAAATTCAGTGGAAGTCTTACCAACAGACTGGATCAAGTAGAAGACAGATTATCAGGACCTGAAGTAGGACCACACAAAGAACATGAAAAACAAATTAAAAAAAAAAAAAACACTGGAAAGAAATATGGAGGCTCTATTTGACTCCACAAGAAGACCAAATCTATGAATCAAAGGCATAGAAGAAAGAGAATACCTGGTCATAGACCAGATCTTAAACATAATTATAAAAGAAAACTTTCCCAATTAAGGAAAGACATACCCATACAGATTCAAGAAGCACACAGAAAGCCAAATAGACAAGAACAGAAAAGAAACTCACCACATCATATCATTGCAAGGCAGTAAATATACAGAAGAGAGGACGTTGAGAGAAAAAAACATACATGCAAGACATGAAAGAGAAAAAAATTCCCACAAGTTAAATATAAAGGATAACCCATCAGAATACATGTGACTTTTCAATGTAAATTTTAATATCCAAAAAATCCTAGACCAGTGTATTGTACTATGTATGTGACTACAGATGTCAACCCAGATTACTTTATCCAGAAAAGCATGAAGGAGAAAGAAAAAATTTCATGACATAAACAGGGTAAAAGAATTTATGCCCAACAAACCAGCCCCACAAAGAGTACTGGAAGCAATACCATGCAATGAGGAGAGTAACTAACATAGCCAAGAGACTACAGAAAAACAACAACAACAAAATGAAGCTATAATTATGGAGACATAAAATAGGACTAAGATCACAAACAGAAGTAAAATGATAGTAACCAACACACATCTTTTGGCAATAACATTAAATATTAATAACTACAACATCCCAGTCAAAAGATATACTTTTTTTTAATTAATAAAGAAACAAAATCCATCTGGGTGTGGTGGCACACACTTTTAATCTCAGCATTCAGGAAGCAGAGGCTGACCAACCTCTGTGAGACTTAGGCCAGCCCTGTCTACAAGCAAGTTGCTGGCCAGCTGGGACCACAAGGACACTATGTCTCAAAAAAAAAATTTAAAAAGAAACAAAATCCATCCTTTTGTTGCATACAAGAACCTCCTTTTACCTTCAAGGATACACACAATCTTCGAGTGAAAGGAAGGAAAAAATATTCCAATCAAATGGAGCCAAGAAAAATTCAGGCATTATTATGTTAATATCTGACAAAATAAATTTCACACTAAAATTAGTCAGAGAAATAAATAAAGACCTTTAATACTGATCAAGGGAACAATTAACCAAGAGGACATTGCAATCCTAAATACAAATGCACCAAATTCCTGCACACCAAATATCATAAAGACAGTACTACTGCACTTCAAACACAGATTAATTCCAACTCAGAAATAGTAGATGACTTCGATGCCTTACTTTCTACAAATAGGTCATCTGGACAAAAAATAAACAGAAAAGTCAGAATTAAATGACATCATAACAATATATCTATGGAACATTCTATCCAAACACCAAAGAATACATATTCTACTCAGTAGCCAATGGAATTTTCTCTAAAACTGACCATATACTGGAATACAAAACAAATCTCTACAAATACAGAAAAATTGAAATAACTCTATGGATCCTATATTACTACAATTCAAAAAAGGTTAAAATCAACACTAAATGAGTCTCTAATAATTGCATGAACTCTTGGAAAATAAAAGCATGATACTGAACAATGAATGGGTCAAAGAAGGAATCAAGATTCCAAGAAATTAAATGAAAATGAAAGCACAACATAACAAAACCTCTGGAATACCTTCAAAGTTGTCATAAAATAAAATGGAATAATTAAAAAACAGAGTAGAAAGTAACAAAATAGAAACAAAGTAAACATTACAAAGAATCAACAAGTTTAAGAGCTAATACTTTGAAAAGATAAGCAAGATCAGTAAACTGTCAGCCCAATTAAACAAGGGAAAAATCTGATCCATTTTAACAGAATCAGAAATGAATAGGGAAATATTACAACAGAGTCTAAAGAAATCCAGGCAGGAGCCAGACTCTGAAGAAATCAAGAATATTATAAGGGAATGCTTAAAATCCTATACACCATTAAGTTAGAAAACTTAAAAGAAAATGCCTAAATTTATAGATGAATTAAACCACCAAAGTTAAACAAAGAAGAAATCAATAACTTAGAATCTTAACAAATAAGAAAATTGAAACAGTTAACAAACGAAAAACAAAACAAAAAAAGCCCAGGTACAGATTCACCATGAAATTCTACCAAATGATCAAAGAGGAAATTACAACAAATACATATTTTCTAAAAATATTTTATTTATTATTTTTATTTTATGTATATGAGTATATTGCCTGCATGTAGGTAGGTGCATCCATGTCATGCAATGCCCACAGAGGTCAGAAGAAGGTGTCAGATCCCCTGGAGCTGGAGTTACAGACAGTTGTTAGCCACTATGTGGGTGCTGGGAATGAAACCCAGGTCCTCTGCAAGAACAGTCAGAGCTCTTAACCACTGAACCATCTTTCCAGCCCCACCAATACTTCTTAAATTATTCAAAAAGCTAGAAACGGGGAGTACTTTCAAACTGTATTTCAATAAGAAAATTGAGAAAAGAAAAAGTCTCTTCAGTAAAGAATGTTGAAAAATTAATATATTTACTTGCAGAAGAATTAAATTTGACTGATATTCTCACCACATATTAAAAGTCAACTCAAAATGTGTTGAAGCCAAAGTGCAGTTTCTCCTGTCTGGCACTGTGTTCCTTGTTATATAGCCGTTGGGTATACACATGCAGTCATGTTCAGATATTGTTATGTTTATTTTTCTGGCAGGGGAATGATTTAATAAATTTCCCTCTGACTTTTCACT